CAGCGGGCGCCGCAGCATCCGGGACGCCGTCCCGCCCGTGGGGCGCACGTCACGGCGCAGCGCCGGTCCCCGCGCTCCCGTGCGTCATATTGTCGCGCCAGCCTCTTTTCCCTGCTTACGTCACAGCGCCGCGCCGGTCGCGTGCACTTGTAGGAATGCCGATCACTCCGGGCCTGACCGCACAGACCAAACGCTTTTCGGGAGCGTTTAGGGGCTGCCATGTGGGACACACGTGCATGGCCCCCCCAGCGTGTCCCGGGGGGCCGTAGGAAGACGCTTTCAATGGCCGAAAAGGAAAACCCAGGTCAAAGAGAAACGTTACAGCACGTTAGTTACATTACGCCAGCTAGGTGGCACACGCCAGTCACCCCAGCTACTCGGGGGCTGAGGCAGGAGGGTCGCAAGCTGGAAGCCTGCCTAGACAACTTAGGGAGACCTGTCGCAAAGTAAAATTCTTTTTTTTGGTCTTTTCTTGAGACAGGGTCTCGCTATGCAATCAGACCGACCTTGAGCTCACTTTGTAGCCCAGGCCGGTCTTGAATACACAACAATCCTCCAGGCTCAGCCTCCCGAGTGCTGGGATTACAGACGTGCGCCCGGCGCAAAAAATTTTATAAAAGGTTAGGGATTCAACTTTGCAGAGCATTTCCATAGCATCGCAAGGCCCTGGGCTCAATCCACTTTGTGGATGAGTGAGGCAATAATAGATGTGAGGGAGGAGAGAAGAATGGTGAAAGAGAGAAGGAAAGGTCCACCTTGGAGCCCACTTTCTGGGCTAGAAACACCTTCTGAGTTAACCTTTAACCCAGGCTGTGACTGGTCCTCCAAGGGTCCTGAAGGGTCAAAACCTCCACCGCGCATGGAGGGGCAGAGTCAAGCCGTTCACTGGCAGGAATCAAACAGACCAACCCCTCACCACTTCCCCCAACTCTGACGCTTAAAACTTCAACACCAAGACTCCCCTTCCATCCCTGAGCACTCCACCCTGGCCCGCTCTCACGCTCTGGCATGTATTTTGACTTTATATTTTTTGTCTTTTTGAGACAGGGTCTCGCTATACAGTTCAAGCTGGCCTCGAACTTGCAACGATCCTCCTGCCTCAGCCTCCCAAGTGCTGGGATTACAGGCGTGTGCCACCACGTCCAGCTTATTTTGACTTTCAATAACTTTTTTTTTTGTTTTTTGTTTTTCTCCGGTACTGGGAACCGAACTCACGACCTTGCGCTTGCCAGGCAGGCGCTTTTGCCGCTGAGCTAAATCCCCAGCCCCTTGACTTTCAATAACATTTTGATTTTGCTAATTCTCTGTGTCCTGCTCAGGACATCAAGAACCTGGACAAGATCCTCATCCAGTAACAGATAGATTGGGCCCTTCGGTTCATGAATTGGGCAGCCTCCATCCTACAGTATGGAAGGATAGCCCCACCGTGTGCAGTAGCAAAACAGTGGGATCTGTAAGGTAGGGACAAAGGACACAGAAAATAGGAAAATAACGGACAGGTTAAAATCAAGTTGCTTTTTTGCAAGGGCTACTAAAGAAAAGTGTGATGCTTACCCAGTTCAAGCAACCTGCAGAAGAGACTGAAGTTTTAACTGCAGTGTTCTCCTGCCAAGTGAAAAGGACAGATAGGAGCAAGGGCAAATTAAGAGGCACAAGAATCTAGTTCTGTTCCTAGGCCCTGGGGTGAGCCATCTAATGTGAGGTTATCAACTTTTCAGCTGGGTGTACGGTTTTTTGTTGTAAATGGACTCTCTATGTAGTCCAGGCTGGCCTTGAGCTGGTGGCGATCCTCCTGCTTCAGCTTCTCAAGTGCTGGGATTACAGGCATGTGCCACCACCACCACACCCAGCTTCTGCCTGAGTTTGTCTCTGCTTATGGCATCAAGTGGTTTGGTAAGTTCTGTTTGGCCCACACTTTAGATATGACACTTGTCCCTGTAACTTACATTGAGTTGTCCAGTTTCAGCTTATAGGGCTTCAGGAAAGCAGTTCTTGTTCTTACTTGGAGAGTTCTTGGCCACATGTTGGAGGAAATTAGAATTCAGGATCCAATCCAGTCTACAGATAGGTAATAAAGACTAAAAAGCAGTATACAGGGCTACACTGTAATAACAGGTATGTCATTAGATCAGGTCCAAGCAGCATATGGGGACCTCACTCTGCCCAACCCAAAACCCTCCCTGTCCCATGTGGATTAGGTTCACTGAATCTTGTCACAGAAAAAGAACTTCAGGACATGTTAGTGAGAGGTATAGGCAGATTTATCAGGCAGAGTTGAAGTACAATTCAGGAGAAGATAGTGCAGGCACTTGAGAGAAATGCACTATGATCTGGGGTTGGGGATAGATAGGTACAGATATATGATCTTGGACGTACCCATCAAGATAGATGTGAGATGTTTACCTAAAACATTGCTTGAATTGAATCCGTTTCCTCATTTTAAGGTCAGACTGCTTCCCTTTACCTTATCAACTAGGTTCGTCTGTGGACATTTTTAAGACGTCTGGGCCTGTCATCTGACAGGGCCCTAGGTTTCCAAAGGGGGTGCAAAGAAGCTAAAACTACCATACCCATAGAATTAAATTGCAGGTTTGCTGACTCCTAACTCAGAAAGAATTTTCAGGACATGGTAGGAAACAGAAAAGGATTTATTAGGTAGAAATTTAAATGAACACATTCAAAGAAATAGAACATAGGCCCGCGAGAGAGGCACATAATGAGCTGGAGCTGGGTATTTTTATAGGGCTTGGGGGGCATCTTCAAGGTAAGTGATCCCATGGGATATAGCTCAGCAGTACAAGCCCCTGCCTGGCAAGCACAAGGTCCTGAGTTCAACTCCCTGGTACCAAAAAAAAAAAGATAAGTGATCCCTGCACTGGTAAGGAGGGAACCTCACCATCTGCAGACATGTTGGCAGAATCCCCAGCACAGTGGCCAAGGGCTGCTCCCTACCCCTGCAGGCCTGAGACTGTGAGCCTACAGGCAATGCCAGCCTCCTCCTCTAGTGTGTGCCCTGGCAGAGGGAGGCTGCAGACATCTGCTAAGCAGCCAAGAGTTATGTGGAGTCATTGAGGTCTCACTGAAGAGAAGGGGGGGGGGCAGTTTGCACAGGACTGTGATGATTTCAGCCAGCGTCCTGGGGAGTGCATTTAAGCAGGGACCCCACCAGAGGAGGTGGCCAGAAAGGTGCTGGAGTGGTAGGAATTCAGAAGTGTGTCCAGAGTGTGGAGCACAGAAATATCAGGGAGGTCCCAGCATGAGTTCTTGGGAGATTTGACTGACAAGAAGGCCGAAGTTCAGACAACCCCTGGACTAAGAGATGCCCACAGGCATCTGGCTCCAGCTGTTGGATCCACATTGAGAACTGGACTCCCAAGTACATCTCCTTCCTTTTCAGGTACAAAGGGAAAATGGAGACTTGACAGTTATGGTGTCCTAAACTGAGGGATTTAATAGTTGTTTCTTCAGCTTAACAAAAGCTCCATCTTTAGAATCTTCCAATGGCATAGTCAGATGGGTGGTGCTCTGTGGGAGGGTGGACCAGAGGAGAATGCCAAGCACAGCAGTACCAGGCCAAAAAAAGCACAGAGTTAAAGTTTAAATTGGGATTCAGGAATTATAAGACATCTTGGATCTGGTCTGAGTCTAAGTATAGTTCATTTTCTGAAATAAGTTAGTGTAAATATCTTACATTTTTTCCCCTTTTCAATACTGGAAATTGAACCTAGAGCCTCTGCACTGAGCTAAATCTCCAGCCCTTTCAATTTCTTTTGTTTTGAAGACAGAGTCTACGTCACTAAATTGCACAGGCTGGGCTCAAATTCACAATCCTCCTGCTCAGCCTCCCACAGTGCTGGGGTTACAGCTATGTACAACACCTGGCTCCTTTTTTTTTTTTTTTTTTTTTTTTTTTTTGTCTTTTTGAGACAGGGTCTTGCTATGCAGTTCAGGCTGGCCTTGAGCTCACTTTGTAGCCTAGGCTGGTCTCAAACTCACAACAATCCTCCTGCCTCAGCCTCCCAAGTGCTGGGATTACATGCATGCGCCACCATGCCCAGCAACACCTGGCTCTAAATGTCTTACTCTTTATAAACTGAAATTTTCTCAGAGAAGTTTTATATTCTGAATACAGAAAAAAGAGAACTCATACCTAGTAGATATAAATGTAAACTGATTTAACCATGATGTGAAACAGCATGGAATTTCCAAGAAAATGAGCTTGGGGAGTTTGAACTACCCCCAACACACCACCAAGCTCTAAATAACCCTGGGTGTAATTCACCCATCAATTTAAGACCAAGCCCAAGGGCTGGGGTCCTGGTTCTGTGGTAGAGTGCTCCCCTAGCATGTATAAGGTCCTAGGTTTATCCCAGCACTGCAAAGTAAAGTGCATGCTTGGGGGCCGTGAGGAGGGGCGCTCAGCACACCTGGGAATTTGGGGAATCCCTTTGAGCAAAAGGAAACAAGGGTGGTGGCAACATGTTATGCTTTATGAAATATCTTTCCCAGGTATTGGTTTGGCCTGGTGTGGCCTTTCCCCTCACTGTCCTACCATGACCAAGAGGCCTTTGTCACAGGCTCATTTTCTTGAGACTGGCAGTGGCCACTTATCCTCCCCGTGGAGCCACAGTCACTCACAGTGCGGCCGGGAGTGCCTGGAGCCCCTCATCTACATGACCTGCATTACCACCCATGCCACTGTAAGTGGATTAGTGAAACAGGAGTTAGGGTTCTATAAGGCAGTAAGAACAATGTCCCTAAAATGCAGTTGGGAAGCCCAAAACAGAGTCTGCTGAGTCGCAGCCTTCCAGAGATCTTACAGAAACATCTGCTAGGTGTCCTTTGGCTGTCTGGGACCTCCCCAGAGGATGGTCAGGTCAGTCACTGGCTCAAGGGTGCGTGGGGCCTGCATGAGCACTATCTGAACACTGTGTAGACTGGACCCTAATAAGGTAAAGATTACACTGCCTACACAAGGGCTCAAGCTCTCTTCTAAACCTCTTAAAAATGCCTAGACAGAAAACCCATGCAGGGATCCTTCTCAGAACCACTCCTGGATAGCAGTTTTACTTCCTAGCCTTTTTATCTTTTGGCAAGCGGGGTTGAGACGGTTTTGCTCTGTAGTTCAGACTGGCCTTGAACACATTATGTAGCCCAGGGTGGCCTTCAACTCACAGTGATCCTCCTGCCTCAGCCTCTCAAGTGCTGGGATTACAGGCATGCTCGACCATGCCTGGCTGCCTTTATATCTTTTAAGTACATTTGCTTGCACTCTACCTCCTCCATCTGTGGTTTCCTTCTTCATTACCATGGGACATGACCCTGGCATTATGGTAACACTATTTAGCCTTCAAAAGATGTTTATAAATAGTGAAAACAGAAAAAGAAAGGTCTAAATTGTATGTAAGCAGCCAAATATGAAACCCAGATACTTACCAGAAAGGACAATGTCCCTGGAAAAAGGCTCGGGGGAAGCTGGAGCTGGGCCGGGAGGGCTGGATAGCCAGGGGAGCAGCTGAGGGAGGTGCTACACATGGTCCTCAAGTTCAGCCCAAAAAGCATGTCTGCTTGGTGCCAAGAAAAATGAGCAGCAGAGACCAGCTCTCTAAACAGTTTATTCAGGACAGCAAGGGAATCCCCAGCTGAGACGTGTGCCATGGTGACCACAGGTGTATACCAGGGGGCAGGCAAGGGGCTCACTTAAAGGCTGAAAAGGGGACTTCCATGTGACAATCAGAAATCACCACAGGGAGAAGACTGACTGAGGCAGGAGATCAGAGTGTGGCAAATTGGCAGGGGGAGTAGGCGTGACCTGTACAAAGTCCCGGGATGCTTGCTCAAACAGTTGCCAGTTAAGGTGTTAGGCTGGCCTGAACTGCATAGGGAGACCCTGTCACACACACAAATATAATAATAATAAAAACATACATACACACAAAATCACTTTCCTTGCGTCAACACCTTGTCTCTGGACTTGATTGGCCTATCACGGTTATGATTTCTCAGTTGTTACCTGGGAGGCTCGCCAATAGCTCTGTTGGAGGAAAAGCCGAGCAAGCTGTTTTAAAAGAAATAGCACCCTATAGAGGGGACGGACATAGCGGGGGATCCGCGGTCCTCATTGGTCTGGCTGCCCTCAGGAGAGGGGCTTCACAGAAGCGACTGAGCTGTGCTTGCAAATGGGAAAAGAAAATCCCAAGATGTCCTAAGTTTAGTTATAAGGCCAGGGGATGGAAGATAGGAAATATGAGGCGCCAGACAGTTAACCGGGCCAAACCAACAAAACCACGGTGCTCCACGTTCCTAAACGGACGCTGCAACCCTCGCTCAAGACCGCAGGGCTGGCACCAAGGCACACCGCAGTCTACTGTCCAGAGCAGCTGCCTTTCTTCCTCGTGGGCCAGCCTCCGGTTCCTAAAGCTGTCTCGCCCCACGAGACCCAAAGCTGCGCCTGGCTCGGCCCAGACTCTCCGGTTCCTGGCCCGCTGCTGCAGGAGACCCCGAGGGCGCTTCCGGTTCCGGCCGGAGCAGCGCAGGACGCCTTCTTTCAGATGCCTCGGTCTCCAAGCTCTGGCTAACGGCCCGCGCCGCTTCCCTGACAAGCCCGCGGGAGGCGCGACCGCCCGACCCGCAGGGACAGGGAAACGTCGGCCTCGGCCCCCGTCCCTCACCCAGCCGCGCCCGGCTGCGTCCGTCGCAGCGAGCGGCGTCCGTCGCCCTGGGCCGGCCCTGCCCCGCCTTCGCCGCAGCCTCGCCCCGGGCCCGCCCACTCCGCTTTTGCTCCACCCCTTCGTTACACGTGTCCGCCGCGTCGGCCCGGTCCGTGACTCCACTCCGCCACGCTCCGGGCCTTGCTACTCGGATATCCCCTCGCCGGGTCCCCACCGCGCCCCCCGGCTCCGCCCACCGGGCCTTGAGCCGCGCCGCCCCGCCCTCACGTGTACGTCATTGCTTACCGTCGTCGCCCCTGAGGACGTCAGCGCCGCGCGACGCAGCGCCAGCTGTTGAGCTGACTTGTGCGCGGCCGCTGCCTGGGCTGGGGTCGCAGCCTGCGCTGTGAGTGTTGGTACGTTCGCGCCTCCGGACCTAGTTGAGGCCTTAAGCTGTTGTCGCGTTCGCGTGGGAGACAGGTCGGGGGAGGTGTGCGGCTGCGTGGGGCCGGTGGGAGGAGGCAGGTGCAGGGCTGCGTGGGTTCGCTTGCCACGAGCCGGCCCTGAGCCGGTATTTCTGCGGCGTCGGGGGCGGGAGGTCTTGGGCAAGAACATGGGCCAGCCGGACGACGACGCCTGCGGATCCCCTCCTTGGTCAGACTCGGGCCACCAGAGCCAAGCTCTTGCAGTAGGGTCCCGTGGAGGCCTCGGACGCCAACGCGCAGACTCCTTTGAGAATTGGGGCATACGAAAGGCGGCCCTTGGCTCACCCTTTTGTAAGCAGGCATGATAATTCTCCACCGCATTTAAAGTGTGTGAGAGTATGAGCACAGGTTCTATGCAGATACTGTTCTACACCACTGTATCTGAGGATCTGTGGACTTTGGAATCCCCAGGTAAGGGACTGCGCTGTGTGTCAGAGATACTTGATATATTTGAGTCGCACTTGCTTTGGTCAGGATTTCAGGAGGATGAATTAAATGAGAAAAAACTTTAAGAAGAAAAGAGAGCTCTTCTCTCCTTGCCTAGCAGGTCGCACAGCAAGAGACCAGGGACCTAAGGGAGAATGGCAGCTGTGGGCAGCCTCCTTAGGTAAGTGGACTCCCAGCCCTGCAGGACCCTTATCAAGCCCACTCAGAGAACTCTCTCACCAAGACAAGGCTGTCCTCTCTTGTCCTCAGTGCTAGGGGAGTTGTGCCATTGGTCACCCACTGTGGCCTCTTCTGGTTGTGGGGCCAGAGCTACTTTGCCATGAGCTGCAGCCCCTCATGGACCCCACCTGTGGATCATCGTGCCAGATGGTGGTGGGCCGACCTGGCCATGTAGGGGCGCTCTGTTTCAGCGCCCTCCACTGATTGGTACCTGTTCTCTGTAGCTTGCTACAGCAGAGCATTGTGAAAGCAGCTGCATCCAGACCCCGCTGCCTGCACACTTCTTCTAGCTGGGCAGACAGCACCAGGGCTGCACTCACTCGCCTGCACCGACAGGCCTATGCACGCCTCTACCCAGTGCTGCTTGTCAAGCAGGACGGCTCCACCATTCACATCCGATACCGGGAGCCAAGGCGCATGCTGGCAGTAAGTGTCCCTTGCTGGGGGCTCCCTGGGGGAGGCTGAGTCATGGTGGCAGGGCTCACAGCCACTGGACTTGGGCTCCAGGTAGCTGACTGCAGGCAGAGGGGAGCAGCTTATTGGAGGGGAGCAGGGTTTCCACCTGTAACTCCTTCCAAGTGCCAAAATCAGACAGAATGATCAGTGTTTTGAAAAAACTAATTCTGGAGAAAAGAACTAGAAAAAATTTCTCTTACTACAACAGGATCTGTAAAAAAAAAAAAAAATTAAAGGAGCATAGGATGAAAGCCATTAGATGAGGGCAAGGCCCAGGGAGTCATCATGGTAGTTCTGCTGTTCCGTGAGCTGTGTCACACCTTGGCCTCTCCTCACAGATGCCCCTGGACCTGGACACCCTGTCCCCCGAGGAGCGCCGGGCCAGACTCCGGAAGCGTGAGGCCCAGCTCCGACACAAGAAAGAGGAGGAGCCAGAGCTCACTGATGACTTTGATGCTGAGCGTTACAGACGGTTTTGGGCCAAGACCAAGAAGTAGTTGTGGCTTAAAGTTGTTTAGGGACATTGTGTGGACAGAGGGTGATCTCCTGTAAATGGTACATTCCTGATGTCTCATTTCAGTGTCTTCCTTTACATGTGTGCCCCAGACTACAGGTCCTCATCTCTGAGAAACGCCAGCTTAGAGCCAGGCAGGCCTCCAGGGCACCAAGCAAATGCCATGGCAGGGGCGGGGACAGGACACAGGAGTCAGATGTTCTTGGGTGCAGAGACCTTTCAGGTTGTGGTCTGCAGTTGGCACCCCCACTTCTCCCTTCACAAGCCATTTTCTAAAAAGCTAGCCTGTAAGCACAAGGAACTCAAGTTCACAGCCCACCTGGACAACTTAACAAGACCATTTCCAAAACAAGTCCTGGGGATAGCTCAGTGGTGGACCACTCCTGAGTTTGATCCCACTACTGTAGGGAAAGAAAAAAGTACCACAGCCTAGGTAATTTATAAACAACAATTTCTCATCACTCTGGATGTGATTTGTCCTGCTGAACCCGCAGCTGGCATTGCCCCAAAGCAGTGGCAGAGTAGTTCACAGGAGTGGCCCACATTTTCCCAGGGTAGGGCTTGTTGGGATCCCTAAAAGAAAAGTGATCAGCCCAAGCATTTCCTAGAGGACTGACTGCAGAGGGCTGCAGTGAGCCTCACAACAGAGCAAGCAGGGTGCTCCACCTCAGGGTGTCTGCAGACACGGACGGGGTGCAGTTTACAGGAAGGTGGGAAGAATGTGGCTCAGGATAGGGCCAGTTTCTTCTGGAGTTTGGGCAACTTTTATTAGTGCCCAGGAGTCTCAGGCCCTGGCAGCATTTCCTTGTGCTCTTGGTTAGCAGACACAGGGCGAGAGAGCTTGGGGATTCACCTGTAAGGCCATAGCCTTTGTGAGGCTGCACCCCACACTTCATGCTCTCTCAGAGCCCCACTTCGCAGTGGCATCATGGGAGGTGGGGGGTTTCAACCTTGAATTTCAGGGATACAGTCCATGCAGGACTGGGGGCTCCAGGCTGCCTGATGTACCCAACCCTGGCGGTAAGTGTGGGCTGCTGTTTATGGAGATGCGTTGTTGGATAATGCATAAACCGTGCACGCCCTTAATGCACTAGCTTGTTTTCCTCTGGATCCTGATGGTTGGCTGACAGTTAAGAGTCAGTAGTTTGAAAAGCACTACTTGATCACATCAGGCTCGTCTTCAAGGAACTATTTTTGTGTCGCCTGGGAGGACAAAACATTACTAAGTGTGTTCTTTAACAGCAAAGCACCGTCCCAGCGCCAGCCCCACTGGGTGGCTATCACTAACCACTTTGCAGAACACCAACCTATTGCTCCTGGGCAAAGAGGCAGGGCCTCCTCGGCGGGGCTTCGCTACGGTCGTCTTATTTGCTTTTGTGCCAGGCTCTACTTCTTGGCGCCCTGACTGACCGATCTCCTGTGACTTCCTCTACTTGATGCCAGGAGGGGCCTGTCCATCGTTTCACTCCCCTCCAACCCTAGCTGTATTTTGTCTCAGCAGCAAACTAAAAGACAGGCAGAAGGGGTGGGGATTTAGCTCAGTGGCACAGCGCTTGCCTGGCAAGTGCAAGGTCGTGAATTCAATTCCCGGCAAAAAAAAAAAAAAAAGACAAAGGTGGGCGTAGTGGCACACATCTGTGATCACTTTGGGAGGCTGAGGCTGGAGGACCCTGACTGACTTCGAGCCCATCCTGTGCAATTTAGGGAGACTATCAAAAAACAAGAGCGGCGGATATAGCTCAATACAAATACCCTGTGTTCAGTCAGTGCGGCAAAACACAGGACGGCAGCACTGGCGCGGGTTCTTTGGCATTGCCTACTTTCCTGGGGACACAGCACTCGTCCCTGATCGCCCACGGTGACCAGTCAGCCACATTGCTTGCTGGGCGCCTCAGTTCCCGGGGCAGTGTACGCGGCACAATTCCAGTAAGGGGCGCTGTGGAAGCGTGACCATCGGACAGCACCCTCCACGCCTTTGCCTGCCAGGTGCGCTCTACCAGGAGGATCGGACGGGATGGGGCACAGGATGGGAGTTGAGAGGGCCCAGTGAGCAGTCTCGCGGGTCAAGATCCAGATTCTGTAGGCCCCACGGTGGGTAATGTACTGCGCAGGCGCACGTGAACCCGGACCCTCCCGCCAGCGGAGGAAGGCAAAGCACCGGCGCTCAGAGCTGGGTGAGTGTGAGGCGCAAGCGCACGGAGCCACGGCCGCTGAACCAGCCCGCGGGAGTGCTGGGGGCGCTGCAGCGCAGACGTGCGGCACCCGCTTTACGAGAAGGAGGCCCGGAAAGGTGACGCCCCGGCTCTGCATCGCAGTGCGCAGGCGCGCGCGGCGGCGCGGACGTGACATCACGCTGTGCGTCGCCAGCTGCGGCGGGGCCGGGCCGCTCCTACGCGGGTCCTGAGCGCTGGTCCCCCCGCGCCGCCCCGGAGCCATGTTCGGCTCCAGCCGCGGTGGCGTCCGCGGTGGGCAGGACCAGTTCAATTGGGAGGACGTGAAGACCGACAAGCAGAGAGAGAACTACCTGGGCAACTCGCTGATGGCGCCCGTGGGGCGCTGGCAGAAGGGCCGCGACCTCACCTGGTACGCCAAAGGCCGCGCGCCGTGCGCGGGCCCGAGCCGCGAGGAGGAGTTGGCGGCCGTGCGAGAGGCGGAGCGCGAGGCGCTGTTGGCCGCGCTGTGAGTGTCACTGGCGCGGGGCGCGGGGCGCGGGGCGGAGAAGGAGGCCGCCGGCTCCTGACGCTCTCTCCCGCTCCTGCAGCGGCTACAAGAACGTGAGGAGGCAGCCTACCGGCCTGAGCAAGGAGGCAAGTCGGACGGGCCCCGGGGGCGGGGCGGGCCGGGGCATCTCGGCTCACCTCCAGCCCGCTGTGCGCTTCGTCCTTGCAGGACTTTGTGGAGATCTGCAAGCGGGAGGGCGGAGACCCCGAGAAGGGCGTGGACCGGCTGCTGGGGCTGGGCAGTGCCAGGTGCGGAGAGTCGGGGAGGGCGGCGGGGCCGGGGGAGGTCCGGTCCTCACCATCCTGTCCCCGCAGTGGGTCCGCCGGCCGCGTGGCGCTGTCCCGGGAAGACAAGGAGGCCGCCAAGTTGGGTCTGTCAGTGTTCACGGTAACCTCCGCTGGGCCGGTGTCAGGTCCTGGGCTGGGGTCTGGGAGACCTGGGGATCCAGAGGCCGCCGCCCGACCCGCACCCTCACAGCACTTTCATTTCTCAGCACCACCGCGTGGACAGGGGTGGCCCAGGAAACGCCACAGCTACGGCCAAGAAGAAGCCACGCGCGGAAGACCAGGCCGAGTCGGGGTAAGGTCCTTCTTGGATGGAGGCCCGAGCCCCTACAGCTGGGGCTGGGTGCTTGACTTAGGCTCCTGAACCTGTCTATTCGTTCTTTTTTGGAGGGCGGGGTTTGTTTTGTTTTGTTTTTTTTCCGGTACCGGGAACCGAACTCACGACCTTGTGCTTGCTAGGCAGGCGCTGTGCCGCTGAGCTAAATCCCCAGCCCCTGTCTATTCATTGTTAGAAAGTATCTTGGGGGTGCTGCATCCAAGCCCTGCCCTGGGGGCAGGGCCTGTGACCCTGGGGACAGTGCTTGGAGGTGGCTCACTGCAGGGGCTGGAACTAGGGAAGCAGCCAGGGCCAGTAGGTTTTTTGTTCTTTTTTTTTTGCCAATAGGTTTTTTTTGTTTGTTTTTGGCTAGTCCAGGCAAGCCATGGCTCAGGGAGCATAGCTGTGGTAGGCCTTGAGCTGCCCATCCACTGTGAGACCCAGGGAGCCTGGGCCCTATCAGATCACAGCAGTTGTCCAGGGCAGGGGACAGTGTGGTGGGATGCAGGCAGGACTGCAGCACTCAGGGTCAAGATCTGGCCAGCTTGGTGGCAGGTGGAACAGGGGGCCGTGAGACCCCAAGATTGGCACAGCACAGTGGAGCTTTCTGCCTCTGTAGGTGTCCTGTATTTGCATACTCCATCATGGCATCTTCTGTCATGTAGAATGTGAGAATGTGTAGTACCTGGAAAGGCACTGGGTGAGTAGCCAGTGTTAAGTCATTCACTAAGTAAACAAGCTCCACAGTTCCACATAAGCACAGGCTACCAGTGCCACAGCTGCCTTGGCTGCTGTCAGCTGTCTGCCATCCTCAGGGTTGGGATGAGACCCTTTCTGTCCCTCCCCATTGCAGTACAGAGAGCCACAAGAAGAGCAAGAAGGAAAAGAAGAAAAAGAAGAAAAAACACAAGAAACAGAAGAAAAAGAAAGACAAAGAGCACCAGAAGGAGGCTGATGCCTCCTCATCTCCCTCTCCTGATCGGTAGGCCCAGGCCAGCCTGGCTTAGGAAGAGGGGGCTCCTGGGGCTGGAGGGGTAGCCGAGCAGTCCTGAGTGAGGCTGTAGGGCACCCAGGATTGGTAGGCCTGAGAAAGGGCCTGGAGCTTCTGGAACAGGCTGGGGCTGGGTGAGGGGGTTGCCTGCCCAAGCTCCTTTCTCTAAATGTCTGGCTATCCTTGTCCCAGGCCTGGGCGCTGCCGGCACGATTCTGACTCCCCCTCCCCCTACAAGAGGCAGAAGTGGGGACACAGTGGGGACAGTGGGAGGAGCCTGTCCCACAGACAGCAGGACTGAAGCTGTGATACCTGAGGCTGCAGCTGAACTGCTGGACAGCACAGCCCCTGCAGCTCTAAGCTGGGACCTGGTACACTGCTGCACTGTGAGGCCTGGGCCCTGTGGATCCTGAGTGACTGCAGCTACCCACCTATCGCCTGCTGGTCTGCCCTAGGGGAGCTCCTGTTTGGGTGAGCATGTGCCTGCTAGGCCTTGGGAGCCAGGTGGCAGGCTCAGGCAGAGGTAAAGTCGCTTTGTGGCGATCCCTCCAGGTCTTGAGCCTTGCCCTGCCACGAGGCAAAAGTGAAGCTACCCAGGAGGCTCTCTCTTGTCCGTGGCTGCAGTGGTCCAGGCCTCCTGAGTACTAGCTATGACCAGATGGTTACTTTTCTTTCCCTATCAACTCACTTTGTACTTAAATAAATTTATTTTAAAAGAATGTATTGTACAGAGTGGGAGGTCAGTGTGGGGAGTTAGTGAAGCACTCAACCAGGAGAGTGAAAGTGGTCCAGCTTCCCTCCCAGGGGGCCTCCATGCTTGCAATACGGTTTTGCCTGGGCCAATTCCTCCCTGTGTATAGCTAAGCAGGACGTGCATTTGGGCCTTGGCGGTCCAGTACCCAGTGAACCCTGGTGACAAGCGCCCTGTCAGTCTGGAACGCCTTATAGGCAGACAGGTGAAGTCAAGCAGCAGCAGCCATGGCTGGGGCAGAGGCATACCTGGAGCCTCTGAGGTGCCTCCACCTGCCTGTGAGGACCAGCCCAGCGCCTGCCTTGGGGAGTTAACATGAAAGCCACCAGTGAGCTTGATTCATGTTGTTTTGCTCCTGATTCTAGAAGAAACTGAAGTGTTGAGGGTGGCCCAGGGCACACCCTGTAGAGATCTATAGAGACCTTGGCTTCTACACTGACCTTAGCCTGCCTGAGCAGATTGCTGACTTTCAGGTACTGGCCTGGAAATGTAGGTGGGCCCACCTGCCTGGGGCAGCCCTTCCCTGGGACCCTGTTCATAGAGAGCATACTTGGAACGTAGTAACCATTGCTACCAAGGGACAGGAGGGGGTCTGTAACTGCTGGCACAAAGTACCCTGTGGCTGGCGGTGTCCTTGCACAGAGAGACGTAAGACAAGCAGAGGCCCCCATACACCCAGTGAGTGACAAAACTCACTGACCCCCATACACCCAGTGAGGCCACTTGCTGTCTCTCCCACCTTATTCACTTTTCAGGAGGCAACCTGGGGACAGTGGGTGACAAACACCGGAGAGCCTATGAAATAGTTAAGAGACTTTATTCTAATAGCTATAATTACAGTGCTTGTCGAAATGAAAACTGAAAACAAGTATACAAAACGGTTGATTACTAATCGTGTATTGAAAGCAGTAAGAGGTTCCACAACACCAAATAAACCAGTTCTGAAGTTTCCCAAGATAAATTTAACAGCTCCAGCTTCTTCAGTGTTTATCAAAATACAAAAGAAAAAAGTAGAGGTCGTCTTTTCTGATGGCAAATCGGACCCTTGCAGGCTGAGGGAGGAAGCTACTTCACACATGGAGGTGGGGGTGCTCCGGGACTGTGGTCTGGAGTGGACCAACTGACCCAGCTTGCACGCGCTCCTGCTGGTGAGACCCAGACTGGCCAACGCGTCCGAGTGGGCACTGGGAATAGGGCTGCCACTCCAGCTGCACATTGACTGAGGGGGAGGGCAGGCCCCATGCCCCTCATGGCTCTCCCAGCCTACCCCGAGGTGACCGTGTGAGCATGAGTACAAGCACAACGCTATGGAATGCAGGTGACCCAAAAACAGGCGGGCCACAGGGTCTCTACTGTGACCATGCAGTGGATGGCATTTGTTCATCACATCTCTAGAGTTCCCAGAGGAACAGCTGATCTGATGACTAGCGTTCAGGCTGAACTTCACTAGGTATAGTCTCCCTTCTGTGTGTTCAAGTGTTCTCCTTTTCTTGTAATTTTTAACTATTTTTAAAAATGCACTGAGTTTGGGTTAAAAACCAACCACCAAATGGATCCTGACACCAATCTACAGCCCAGTGGCTCCTGGAGGCCAGGTGCCCATGCACCCAAATCCCTTCTCAGTACTGACAGTGAGTTGATTTTTTTTTCTTTACAATAAAAAAGCTGAGTAATATTGCATAGGAGTACCAGAAACTGCCTCAGTGGAAACAGAAACTATTTACATTAAATAAAAACCTGGCTGCAGGCTGCATCTGCACATGTACAGCATGGTGCGTGCACACTGTGACCAACCCATGGAGACAGCTTCTGGCACTCAGGACCACAGAGTCGCACGTTTGCCACATGAGAGGAAAGCGGAGGGTGGAGAGGAGGAAGTGAGGGGAAGGGGAGTTCTGGTTCACTTCTGGTTCCGGAGCTGATTGGACAGCCAGTCCAGTCCTTCATAGAGCCCGTCCCCACTGGTGGCACAGGTGGCCTGAATGTACCAGTTCCTGTGGCGTAGAGAGTGCAGCCCCAGCTTGTCTGTGATTTCAGCTGCATTCATTGCGTTGGGGAGGTCCTGCGGAGAAGGATGGGTCAACGGCAAGGCCCACAACTGACCTGTCCCCAGGGCCCTTCTCCCCAACAGAGGCTGCCCTGGGGAGGAGCCTGCTGGCACCTACCTGCTTGTTGGCAAACACAAGGAGAACAGCATCCCGGAGCTCATCCTCGGCCAGCATCCTCATGAGCTCCTCACGGGCCTCGTTCACACGCTCTCTGTCATTGCTATCCACCACAAAGATCAAGCCTACAATACAACCAGGATGATGGCAAATGCTGAAAACAGCCCACCCGACCACACCCACGAGCAAAGGACCCAACCCCAGGGGTCACAACTGGACTCAGAGTCCTGGGCTCCCATCTTCTGGTCACGATATCTCAATGTGGCGCTGTGCCCCACAAGAGACTGGGTCTCTGAAGACACAGATGGGAGGAACCTGGGATGAGGACTGGCTGCTCACCTTGGGTGTTCTGGAAGTAGTGGCGCCACAGTGGCCGGATCTTGTCCTGGCCACCCACATCCCACACGGTGAAGCTGATGTTTTTGTATTCGACAGTCTCCACATTGAAACCTAGGGATAATATTGCAGCTTAGGGCCCTCTGCACCCCAGAGCCAACATAGGCCCAGGCCCCGCCCCTGCCTGGCTTCTCACCTATGGTAGGAATGGTGGTCACAATTTCACCAAGCTTCAGTTTATACAGAATCGTCGTCTTTCCGGCAGCATCCAAGCCCACCATGAGAATGCGCATTTCTTTTTTGCCAAAAAGGCCCTTGAAGAGGTTCGCGAAGATATTCCCCATGCTTGTGGATGCGTGGAAGCGACACTGGCCAGAGACCTAGGAAAGCAAGGTGTCCTGGGCCTGTTCCCATGCTGCCAGCCCAAGCCCCATGGCAGGTCAGGGACAACCCACCCGGGGATGCCATCTCCTCTCATCCCTCCTCCTGGAATCCCACAGGGAGGATACATTGCAACCCTGATTCCCAGATGACAGAAAAACCACCTGGCCAGCTGGACACTTAGGCCCCCAAAGCCAATGTATACAGTATTAGTTCTTCCCGTCAAAGTCCATTCACCCTAATGACAGCAAACTACAGGACAGCTCCACAACAACACTCAGAAAGCAGGCAAACTACTGTCTCAGGTCCTGCTTTCAGAGGCACATGACATCTCTACAGTCAAATACAGCTTTTGGTACAGAAGGAACCACCCAGCCATGTGTCTCTGCGCTATACCAGCACATGATGGCAAACGGCAACTACAGCCAGGCTAGGACCTTCTTGCCTTCCCCTCGCCACCACCAGAGAGCAGGTCACACTGCAGTCTTAGGACCATGGGCCACCTTCCCAATGCACCAAGGAGCTTGGTGGCAGCATGCCACAGGACAAGCCCAGGAAGCACTGTAGTGTCATCTGATGGGCAAGTCAGGTAGGCGCCTCTGCCAGTTCAGGTTGTAACTACTACCCATGAAGTAATAGCTCAGGTGGTCTAGACAGCTAGGGCTATACAAGGCACCCATAGTAAATCCCAGGAGCACATTCCTAAGACATGCACACATGAAAACAGGCTCTTGCAAGGAGCTCCCCAGGCCCTGGCCTCACCACTGTGGATACCTTGGGCCCTTAGTTGTGTCTAGTCTAGAAACTATCATCATCTGCTCAAATGCTACCTGCTGGAAAATGAGATACCAGTAGCATCTAAAAGTAAAAGCAAGCAAGGCGCATCTGTATTTATGTAATGGAGAGGAAGGTGAACAAGCACAGTACAAGGCAGGGTGACAAGGCTTTCTGTCCTGTCTCTTTACACTGTGATCACAGGCTGGGTGACTTATCAACAACAGATGTTTGCTTCCACAGTCATGCAGGTGTAAGTCCAGGATTGAGGGCTAACAGTGTCCTCTAGAAGGCAAGACTACAGTGTCCTTCAGTGGTGGAGCAGCAAGAATAATTCCACTGCCAAAGCTCCTTTCATGAGGGCCCTAACCCATTTGTGAGGACCCTTATGACCTGAACAACTGTCCAACACTCTGCACTGGGGTCTGACTTCTCAGTGACTCCTCTAAACCTTGGGGACACACGCAGACCACAGTACTGTGTGTGAATAAGCATATGGGAAGTCACTGTGCTTGACAGCACTGTGCATTTACCTCCTGCATGGCAATCCTGATGCATCTCTGCACTGCCTGTGTTCCTCCTGTGACCATGTGCACACAGCAAGGTGGCCTTCTTGCAGAAGATCTTGCTCCTATCACACTGTGGGTTTCAGTACCCTGACATCTCGAGACAGCATTATGCCTGGGATCATGGTTGCGGGTGGTTAACTTCATCACTCCTCCAACCACTGGCTGGAAAACATGCTTCAGCAAGTGCCCTCAGGACACTGTTTTGCACAGTATCACATATTCAAAAAGTTCCACTCTGCCACGTGGTGGCTCGTGCCTGTAATCACAGCACTCAGAGGGTGAGGCAGGAGCACTGCTGAGTTCAAGGCCAGCCCAAACTACATGGTGAGACCCTGTCTCCAAAAAAAAGTTACATGTCTGAAATTAAGCAGAATTTGCTGTCATGGTCCCTTTTCTGGCAATAGCCAGGTCCTGAGAGGATGAAGTGTTCTGGGGAACAGAGAGCAAACTACCACTACTTCTCAGTGCCCCTCTGAAATCACTGCCTGTAGGGGAACAAAACTGTGGGGACAGAGAGAAAAGGGAGAGAGAGGCTTGGGACTACACACAAGACTCAGCCTTTATTCTTCCCAACTGGGGAGGAATAAAGTAATTTTAGGGTCACAAGGGCTCCCCCTTTACCTCTGGTGCAAGCCTTCCTCCTAAGGTTTCCACTGGGCTCTGGGGACAAAGTCAGAGGAAAGGAACCTGAGGTGACCAATGGTTGAACAGGCAGAAGGTGGAACTCTGAGGACATGGGCTGT